CCTGGAGATCCTGAGAATCCCAGCACCTTTCCTCTGGAGATCCTGAGCATCCCAGCACCTTTCCCCTGGAGATCCTGAGAATCCCAGCACCTTTCCTCTGGAGATCCTGAGCATCCCAGCACCTTTCCCCTGGAGATCCTGGGAATCCCAGCAGGTTTCCAGGCTGGAAATCCTGAGAATCCCAGGAGGTTTCCAGGCTGGAGATCCTGAGAATCCCAGCAGGTTTCCAGGCTGGAGATCCTGAGAATCCCAGCAGGTTTCCAGGATCCTGAGAATCCCAGCACCTTTTCCCTTGTGGATCCTTAGAATCCCAGCACCTTTTCCCTTGTAGATCCTGAGAATCCCAGCACCTTTTCCCTTGTGGATCCTGAGAATCCCAGCACCTTTTCCCTTGTGGATCCTGAGAATCCCAGCACCTTTTCCCTTGTGGATCCTTAGAATCCCAGCACCTTTTCCCTTGTAGATCCTGAGAATCCCAGCACCTTTTCCCTTGTGGATCCTGAGAATCCCAGCACCTTTTCCCTTGTGGATCCTGAGAATCCCAGCTCCTTTTCCATTGTGGATCCTGAGAATCCCAGCACCTTTTCCCTTTTAGATCCAGAGAATCCCAGCACGTTTTCCCTGCAGTCCCGTGGGTTTCAGCCCCGCTGCCAAGGTGTCATTTCCACGTTGTGGTTTCTTACAAAGCACATTCCTCAGTGCCAGCCCCCAGCTTCCTGCCTGGCCTCTCTTTTTAGGATTTAGGATTCCTGTCAGAGCCCGCCGCCGCCAATCGCGCCGCGCTCGCACCAGGACGACGGGGACGGAAAAATGAAAATCACATTCGGCACATTTAATCAGATAATTATTTTTAAGGAACGAGCAGGAATGTTAAATACATTTGCCTTTTTTTTTTTAATTTTTTTTTTTTCCATCTGTTGAGGCTGACGTGCAAGACTGGGCTAAGTGAGGTTTCCATGGGTTTGTGTTCTCCTGGACACCACAGCTCCCCCTCCAGCTGGGAACGGCAGCACGGAGGTTTGCTGTCGCTCTCAATCGATCTGTTTGTTTAGGAAAAGCATTCCAGGAAAAATCTGTCCCTTTGTTCTTTGCTCCTTTCTCCTGTGTCCACGTGGATAATTCATAAGAGCTTTCCTCCTTTCCACAGGAGGATCCCTTATTCCCAGGAGTTCTGAGGTGGGAAGTTGAGGATTCCTAAGATCAACGGAGCAGGTCTGGAATCCCCCAGGGACTGAGGAAACTCCAAGGTAAGCTGCTGAAAAAGCTCCTTTCCTCCAAGTTGGGAAGTTTGCTTTTCCCCCAGCCACAGGAGCCAGTCCAACCCCCTGGACGTGGAAGAGGGAACATCTCCTGTTGAATTTTACCGTTGCTATAGCGATTGATTAAATAAAATAAACCCCCCCCCCCTCCACTTGTAAATTCCAAATCCTAATTGTACTGACAACAATCTAAATGTGGTTGGAACAGTGAGTCACACTCCAGATTCCCGTGTCTGGAGCAGGGCTTCATTTCCATCTAACAAGGCAATTACTGTACCCGCGTTAATTCCGTATCATTTGATTAACAAAAACGTGCCGGGGAGCTTTAGCACCTCTGCTTAGTGCAGCAGATCCCTATCTCCAGCCCTGCCCCCGGCGCTGCTGCTGCTGCTCATTAGCATACAATATGCAGATGTGGCCGTCCCAAAGCTCTGGTGCATCCCAAACCCGGGATGGTGTCACCAGCCCCTGCTTTCCTACCAGGACAAACTCAGGTCTTAAATCATAAAGCAAAGATTTCCCTTAAAGCTGAGGCCTTGTTTTAGTCATTCTCATCCCATAAAAGCTTCTGTTTCTCACTACTCCTGGAAGCTGCCAAGGAATTCGGGGCCACTTCCAGCAGAGTTAGGTCAATCCCCAGAGTCCCCATCATGAGCTGTGAGTGACTCAGCCCCAGCTTTGGCCAAGGGCAGCAGGAATTTTTCCCACCTGGCTCTGCTCCTTCCTCCGGGACAGATCCCAGAGGATCCCAAGGAGCAGCTGCAGCCACCCTGAGCCTCATCCCCAAACGAGGCCTTTCCTCCCAAAAACACTTCAGGGATGGCAAACAGAACTTTGGGTTTCCCAGTGACTCCCTAATCACTCCTGGAACGGATCCGGAGTCGTTCTGGGTGGATATTTAACTACAGACAAATGGCATTTCCTTTTCAATCCCTATTCCCAAACCTGTGGACAAACAGAACTGAGCACCAAATCCCTGGGACTTTGGGATTTGCCACTGGGAAAAGGGAAAAGCAGCCGGAGCTGGGAGCGCTCTGCAGCCCCGGTGCCACGTGAATAGAGATTGCATTTTTTTGCCGTGGCAAATAAACAAATGCATAAAGATGCATTATTTCATAAGCATTAAAAAAAAAAAAAATCCTTGCTGCAGCTATAGTGCTTTTCATTTGTTTTTATGATTACTTGTAATTAATTAGCATCAAAAGAAGATTATCAACCCCGAGATTGGAGCGGCGATGATGGCGCTGCTTTATCTTTCTATTAAGGTGGGGAAAAAGAAGGAAATGATCCCTTTTTATTTCATTTTTTAACTCTGCCGAGATGGAAGTGTCGGAACCCGGCGGCAGCACAGCCACAAAAAGCACCAAAAAGCACAAAAAGAGAAATTATCTTCTCTAATTACAAGCCGTGCTGAGACAGGGCATGTAAATATTTAAGGAAGTTGAAATTGTTATTAAATTTAGGTTTCCAAAAGCCTTTTTTCAATCCGTGTTTATGTTTTATATGAGGTCGCTGCTCGTGCACTCAGAGCCATAAACCAGAGGTTTTTTCAGGGTATCTGGAGACTTTCAGCAGCTTCTGTGCTCTGGGCACCACAAGAAATCCCCCCAAAAAAAGGGATTTCCTCACCCTCATCCACTTCTCCTGCCGTGCCTGCCGTCGGATCTTTACACTAGGGGAAAAAAATAAACGCAAAGCACGGGGAACGTTCCAGATCCTGGAGGAACCCAAAGCTCTGCTGCCCTCCCAGCAATCCCCAGGATTTTGGGAGTTTCCAGTTTCCCTGGTGTTCCAGAAATCCTGGGGAACTGTGATCCATCTCCCTCTCTCCTTCGCCAAACCTCTTCCCCAACACCAGGAAACGCCAAATCCAAACTCTGCCTTATTTGAATGGATGATTAATTCATGAAGGGCCGTCCCAAATTGACGGGCACGGGGCTGCTCCCATCCTCCTATGAAATATTAACGCAGCGCTCAGCACCGCTCCGCAGCCATTAGCGCTCATTTGCATATTCATGAGGGCTCATAAATGTTCGAGGAGCAGCCGGGAGGAGCCAAGGAGTATTTACAGCCCTAAAAGGGGGCTGGCTTGGTGGGACAAACCACATCCCAGGAATTCCAGCGTGCCGTGCTTTGGGAGATGAGTGAAACCTGGGAAACTGAGGCAGCGCCGAGCTGATGAAAGTCCCCGCTAGCAGGGGAAATGCTCGTGATTTACCTCGCTCCTATCGATAATAAACTGCTCAATGAGTGTTACTAAATAACATTTTCCCGTCCGTTAAGCGTAGCCAAAGCGGGACAGCGATTCATCGGCGAGACAATAAAAGTTCCTTTTTCTGCTTGCTGGGTGTTTTCCCCCTTCTGCACAGCGTAAATCACATTTTGTGTGAAGGGTGCAATCCTTGCTCCGCCACTTATTTGAATCTCTGCTGCTTTATAACAAATGCTTTTTATTGATTTTTCTTGTGCAGAGCCGGGAATTGAATAACTCCGGGAACGGGCTGAAGGAGAAAACGGGATCAGCAGCTTTCCAAGGTAAAGGTGGCACTTGCCTGGCTCAGCAGCTCCAGGAGCAGCACCACAGCACAAACCTGATGGCCCTGTGGCTCTTAAAGTCCCAGAGCTGGGCTGGCTCTGGGCAAGGCCAAGAGGGGCTGGAGAATGGGTGGTGAGCTGCCTTGGGGGGCTCAAACGGGGACATTCCCCTAGGCCAGCTCCTCATTTCCCTTCCAACCAAAGGTTGGAACCGTGTTTGCCTTCCCACAGGGCCATTTCTGCTGGAAGGGGTTCAGGGTTACCATCTTTGGAAGGGAGAAGGTTTTGGGGTCCCTGGGCCAGGTGCTTTGCTCCTGGAAGCCCCCTGGAAAAGCAGGATTGCAGAGCCCCGCCATGGGAACTCCTCTCCGTGCGGGGAGACGTCCCCTGTCCCTGGGGGTGACCCCAGCCTTTCTCCAAGCCCCTGGGGCTGAGCTGACCTCTCTGAGACCTGCAAATAAAGTCCAGAGGGATGGAGCAGGCTCAGCTGTCCTCACAAAGCTGGGATTTCCGCAGGAGCCCCGGGCAGGGCAGAGCTTCACACCCGAAAATCACCCGGCAAAGGCCGCGTCGTTTCCCCGCTGCGTTCCTTGGAAATGTGTTCCTACTCCAGGTAATGCGGTGCTCATTACACAATTACCTCAAGTGCTTCACAATGCATTAATTGCTGCTTGATTTAAACATTCCCCATCCAGGAGCAGCCCACCTCTGTCATTGTGACAGAGTCGGTGGTCGGGTTCCTCCAGGAGGGAATGGAGAAGCCGCGGGTTCCTTGGTCAGGGGAAGCAGACCTGGCATCAGTTGTGGGATGCAGATCCCGGGGGAAGCACGAGGCATTTACTGATCCTTTTGGCACTCAAAGTGCCAATCACGGGATCATTTAGGCTGAAAAAGACCTCCGAGGTCCTCGTCCGGCTCAGGGCATTCTGTCATTCCATGACTTTATGGCGTTATTTCAGCCTTATTTACAAAATATTCCTTAAACGCCGGGCCTCGTCAAGGACTCGGTCCGGGCCACCACCTCCATGACTCTGTTCCCAAATTCTCCAGAGGGACAGGGACATCCAAAGCACCTCCAGGTAGGCAGCTGCTCCCCGCTCTCACCCCGTGCAGTGACACGTGGAACTGGCAGCCCAGGACAGCTTTGTGACACGGGCACAGCCCCGAGAGCTGTCCCCTGTGATGAGACCCCAAAAGAGAACCCCTGGAGAGAACTTCCCCATCAGCCTGCAGCCCTTCTCTCCTGGCATTCCGTCCCCTCCCGGCCCTGGCACCGGGGTGGTCCCTGCCACGTCGCCGTGCCACGGCTCCCGGACGGAATGGTGGCCATTTCGAGGTGGCGGGGAATTTTCCATTCAGTGGGGAGAGGATTTTGCCCGAGGTGCCTGCAGATGTTCCGGGAGATGCCCCAAGGCCCTGTGGATCACCAGGAGAGGCTCCGCTCCCTCCAGCGGCGTTTCCTTCTGCCTCGCTGCCCGTGGAGCCATCCCAAGGAATCCTGGAGATTTCCCCCAACATTTTCTTGAGCTAGAGAATTACGGGCAGAAGAAAGTTCCAGGGGTGCTCCTTCCTCAGTGAGAGCTTCATCCTCCCTCCAGGGAGAAACCTGTTTGGAACGCCGCCGCGGCTGAAACGGCTCCGATGCGACGGGGCCTTAAATTACCGGGCTTTGACGAGCCTGCTGCACACGCACGGAAGCTGTCACCGGGAATTCTCCCCATCCAGACTTTATATAATAGGGGAGGTATTAATCAGGAGTGGAGGTCTGCAAATATTTGCCTGTTTCCATAGCGATGGGGAGCCCACACACACAATAAATACCTTTTCCCACATGCGTTATCATCGCTGCCTAATCATATAATCACCAAGCCGTGGCTCAGGCGGGGCCGGGAGGAGAATAAACACCATTAATTAACAGATTTATAAACTAGAGGAGGAGGAGGAGGAGGCGGCAAACGAGGAACGGAGTGGAGGAAGCGCTTTGGAGAGGGTTTGGGCCTTTCTCGTTTCTCCGGGAAACTTGGCAAACTCTTAATTAGCTCACCAAACCCTCTCCGTCTTCTTCCAAAAATAAAACTTCTGACAACTGTTCAAACCGCTCTCACCCACCAAACACACATTTGAGTACAAATAGAAAGCCACGGCGGGGAAGTGTCAGAGGCATTGCTTCGAAGGAGGAAAAGTGAGACTCTTGGCGTCGCTCGCGAAATCCGACGCGTTGTCTCCGCTGCGTGGAGGTGACACGGGAGTGACACCGGGCCAGCCAGCGCGTTGGGAGGGTGCTCCACTCACTGATCCCTCCTGGCAGCTCCAAACACCTTTGTCCAGGCTGGCACGTACCGGGAATGCAGAGCCCAGACCCAAAGGGATTTTTGGGGTTGGGTCTAGGGGTTCGTCATTCCTCGTTCCGTCCTAAAGCAAAGCGGAATTTTGGAAGTAAAAGTAGCAAAGTTGGAAGAGTTCCTTTGGTTTCCGGGGATCGAAGCAGCTCCGGCTGCTCCTGCTGCTTAAGAGGAGCCATCCCCATGGAATGGTTTATTCCATGTCCTCCAGCTCACAGAATAAACCATTCCATGGTCCGTGCTGGAGCTGCCCAAAGCAGGGCAGGACCACCTTCTCATGGTGCTCCAAGCCGTGTCCAGCCTGGCCTGGGACTCTCAGCTTGGGAAGGCACCCGGCTGGCGGGGTTTGTCATTCCACTGAGAATTCCGTGATTTGGGGGCTGCTGCAATGCCAGGGCAGATTCGGGGTGAACCGCAGTGTCCCCGGTGGCACGCCCGGGCTGGTTGCGGAACCGGGCTGGGCCACGCCCGTCCCCGCTGACGTCTGAGTAATGTGCCTTTCCCTGGCATGACAAGCTCATTATGGAGCATAATTGCGACGCAATCTCCTGGTAAACACTGGGTTAAACCCCCTGGAAGATGCTTGTTCCTCTCGTTATTAATTAGCACGTGTCCACTCCGCCAGATCCAGAGCCCAAACTTCATTTGTTATGTTCAGCCAAATGCATGAGTAGCTTTGGAGTAATTATTTTCCAACATCATCTAATACCTCTCTGCACATCAATTAAAAATCCTCTTAACAAGGAACTGCATTTTGTTTGAGATCAAATGCCTCGTCCAAAGCTGTATCAATCATGTAGAGCTAATTAGTGGGTCTGCTTTATATCATTTGTTTTACTTTATTATTCTATTATACACTTCCTAATGAAACCAATTGAACAATTTTGAAATCTTTGTTCAATTAATTGAAGGCTTAAAGGCCAGCTCCCTTTTCTGTTGGCTTTAAAAAGCACGGATGCAAAGGGAAATAAGATTCCCTGCGTGTTTTATATCTATTTCTTCTCCGGGGTAAATGTTCCAAAACTGCTTTTAAGGTTTTAGCACTATTTCTGTGTCCATGGTTCTGGAGGATTGTCCAAGGAAGGCTCTCCCAGCCCTGCTCACTCCATGGTTCTCCAGGATTGTCCAAGGAAGGCTCTCCCAGCCCTGCTCACTCCATGGCTCTGGAGCAGGATTGTCCAAGGAAGGCTCTCCCAGCCCTGCTCACTCCATGGTTCTGGAGCACTTTCCACGAAGGAAGGCTCTCCCAGCCAAAAGTGCATCCAAGAAGGCTGGTGGCACCTGGATCGTGTCCCTCACTGTGGCAGCAGGAGCAGGGCAGAGCCAAACCTCCAATCCTGGGCTCCTCATGAGAGGGAAGGGAACACAGCTGGGAAGGGGCTGGAGAACTCCTGAGGTGGCTGAAAGGGGCTCAGCCTGCAGGAAAGGAGGCTCGGGGGGGACCTTGTGGCTCTGCACAAATCCTGACAGGAGGGGACAGGGACAGGAGGAGAGGGAACAGCCTCAGGCTGGGCCAGGGGAGGCTCAGGATGGACACCAGCAGGAATTTCCCCATGGAAAGGGGGATCAGGCCTTGGCAGGGGCTGCCCAGGGAGGTTTGGAGTGCCCATCCCTGGAGGTGTCCAAGGAAGGGCTGGAGGTGGCACTCAGAGCTCTGGGCTGGGACAAGGTGGGCTTTGGGCACAGGCTGGACTCAATGACCTTGGAGGGCTTTTCCAGCCTCAGCAATCCTGGGATTCTGTGATTTTCCCCTCTTTAAAAGACATGTTCCTGTTTCCAGCTCTGTGCCCCTTTCTCACCTATTTCCTGAGTGTCTCTCACCCTCCCCAGGGGACAGGGCATGTCCTGCAGGCCGTGTGCCCTCTGTGCTGTCTGTGCTGCTGCAGCCCTGTTTCCACAACTCCATTATTAGTTTTGTCCAGCCTGCAGGAAAAAGTGATGCTGTAGCTGGCATCCCAGTGTTAGGTCATATTAAAACCATCTGTAACAAATCTTTATTTGCAGTTACTTTGGAGTTCAGATTTCAGCTTCTACTCCACCTGTCATCAGTGTTTATCCTCATAAACTTTCACAGCTTCTTTTATTCTGGTTTTTTTTTTTTTTTTTTTCCCTTCTGAGAGACCTTTTCAGGGTTTTTGGCACTCTTCCGCCTACTTTGCCTGGCAAAATTTCACTCTCCTTGATTTAGAAAAGGTGCAGGTTTCATGAATCTACAGGATCTTCAGAACAGAATATTTGTAATGTTATTTCCAAGAAAAAGCAGCCTTGTTGCTGGTTATGATTTCAATAAAAAATAGGAAAATAAAATCTGTGGGGGAGTTGTCTGCAAAACACTGAAGTGTTTTTTAATATGGATAAATAACTCTGTTGGAAGGCTCTCCCAGCCCTGCTCACTCCATGGCTCTGGAGCAGGATTGTCCAAGGAAGGCTCTCCCAGCCCTGCTCACTCCATGGCTCTGGAGCAGGATTGTCCAAGGAAGGCTCTCCCAGCCCTGCTCACTCCATGGTTCTCCAGGATTGTCCATGGAAGGCTCTCCCAGCCCTGCTCACTCCATGGCTCTGGAGCAGGATTGTCCAAGGAAGGCTCTCCCAGCCCTGCTCACTCCATGGTTCTCCAGGATTGTCCATGGAAGGCTCTCCCAGCCCTGCTCACTCCATGGCTCTGGAGCAGCATTGTCCAAGGAAGGCTCTCCCAGCCCTGCTCACTCCATGGCTCTGGAGCAGGATTGTCCAAGGAAGGCTCTCCCAGCCCTGCTCACTCCATGGTTCTCCAGGATTGTCCAAGGAAGGCTCTCCCAGCCCTGCTCACTCCATGGTTCTGGAGCAGGATTGTCCAAGGAAGGCTGTCCCAGCACTGCTCAGTCCATGGTTCTGCAGGAGGATTGCCCAAGGAGGGCTCCTCCAGCCCTGCTCACTCCATGGTTCTGGAGCAGGATTGTCCAAGGAAGGCTGTCCCAGCACTGCTCACTCCATGGTTCTGCAGGAGGATTGTCCAAGGAAGGCTCTCCTTGGAGAGAAAAGTGCATCCCAGAAGGCTGGTGGCACCTGGATCGTGTCCCTCACTGTGGCAGCAGGAGCAGGGCAGAGCCAAACCTCCAATCCTGGGCTCCTCATGAGAGGGAAGGGAACACAGCTGGGAAGGGGCTGGAGAACTCCTGAGGTGGCTGAAAGGGGCTCAGCCTGCAGGAAAGGAGGCTCGGGGGGGACCTTGTGGCTCTGCACAAATCCTGACAGGAGGGGACAGGGACAGGAGGAGAGGGAACAGCCTCAGGCCGGGCCAGGGGAGGTCACGCTGGACGCCAGCAGGAATTTCCCCTTGGAGAAGGTGCTGTGGCTCTGCACAAATCCTGACAGGAGGGGACAGGGACAGGAGGAGAGGGAACAGCCTCAGGCTGGCCCAGGGGAGGTCACGCTGGACACCAGCAGGAATTTCCCCTTGGAGAAGGCGCTCAGGAACTGGAGCTGCCCAGGGAGGTGTGGAGCCCCTGCTCTGAGGTCCCCAGCATTCCTGGGACACCTCAGGCACAGCTCCGTGGGCTGGCACTGCTGCAGCAGAGGAGCAGGAGCTCTGTGCAGCCTGAGCAACCCCTCTGCAGCCGCCGTGAACGCTTCGCAGCTAAATCAAACTGACAAACCAGCAGATGCTGAGGGGCTTGCAGCAAATGGACTGTGTTTCCTTTTTCATACGGAGAAGGAGGGTAAAAATAAGAATGACTTTCACATGCCGTCAAGACTGCTTGGGAGAAATCAGGGGATATTATAGAAGCATTGGAGCAGAGGGAATTCAGCTTTAGACCTCTCGAAATCTGGGGGTCGAGCTGAGTTCCTGCTTGTCAGGAACATAAAAATCTATTCCTCAGTCGCTCACCAGGCACGTTTAAAGGCACAGCTCTGTCAGAAGGGCCAGCAGGAGCCACCTGCGTGTCCCTCTGGGCGCGCGGGGATCAGCGTGGGCTCTACACCCCCACCCACACCAACCGGGATCACCTCCAAGCTTTGCAGCTCCCAGAGAAACACCGCCAGCAGTTCTGGGCTCCCTGGGAGCAATCAGAGCACTTAGCTGCATGTTTATTGTGCACACAGCTCCAGCTGCTCCAGATGTGCTGGAACTGCGGCCGAGCTCATCCCGAGAGCGCCGCCGGACGCGGCCCTGGACACGGGTGGTCCCGGCCCCGCAGAGCCTTTGATGTGCACTCCCAGGTAGGAAGGGCTGGCTTGGGGACATTTGGGAGCTATTAGGGTTCCTCACTCACGCACGGCCTGGTTTCCATCCCCTGCCTGGCAGGGAGGGAGGCGGGGGGGGAAGCAGCATCCTTTTCGGATTATCCCCGCTTCCTGTTTGGAGAGTTGCGGCCAGCCAGAGCAGTTCCAGCTAGGAAACAAAAGCCCGGGGCCCCTCGGTGTCAGAGCAGAGCTGAGCCCCCTCCGGGGCTCTCGGTCACTTCCGAGCTCGAGAAAAAAACCCAGGAAAAAATCCCGAGGTTGGGGATTCAAAAAGGAGAGGAAAAGTCGCTGCGGCACCCCCGGAGCTCACCTCTGTCCTGAGGGTGGCACTCAGCCCCTCGCCACACTGAATCCCTGTTTCCAGTCTTAAAACCGGGCTTAAGTAGGCCGGGAGTGCCGGCTGCCACGCGGGGATGTTTTCAGCTCGCCGGACAAAGGCGGGGAGGGATCCCCCGGCACAGCCTGGGACCCTCTCCTTCCCCTCAGCCATCTGGAGATTAATTTGGAGCAAAGTGTAAAGGCAGAACTTTTTTTATTTTTGTGATCTAATCCTGTAGGTGCCATTATTTAATTTATCGATACAAAGCAGGGAGGCAGATGCGGGAGAGAGCTCGAGAGGCAGCGAGGACATTGTTGAGTCTGCTCCTCTGAAGAGCCAATTATTCCCTTCAAGTCCTTTAGTTTCAGGGGATGCTGCAGTAGTTGCAGGGATAAAAGTGGGAGCCTTTCATCTGGAGCATTCAAGTGCCAGTCCTCCAGGCAGAGCAAAGCCACACGGAGCGGGCTGGCTTCTTTTCCTCCTTAATGCATTCTTCTGGAATGGGATTATTAAACATTACTGAATGGAGAATGTAAATTTGCAGCATTGACGGCTGATTAGTTTGGAGAATGTAAATTTGCAGCATTGACAGCTGATTAGTTTTTAATTTTTTTTTTAAAACGAGAAAAAAAAAATTCACTCATCATCAAAAATATAAATGAAACCTTTTAAGGGAACCTCCAAGGAAAAGCACAATGGTTGCTGTTTTCCCTGACTCTAGGGCTGGCTCCAGTCTGTAATCCTGCATTAAGGGGGAATTTCCTTTCAGCTACCAAATAAAATCCAGATTTATTCCATGAAATCAGGAAGTTGGAGGTGTCCCATGGATCCCTCACAGCAGGTGCCAAGGAGCTCCTGAACATCTGGAATCGCCCAATTCCCTGGCAGTGCCCAGCACTGACCTGGAAAGGGGATCCTCTGGCACATCCATACCATTGGAGAATGTAAATTTGCAGCATTGACGGCTGATTAGTTTTTATTTTTTTTTTTTAAATGAGAAAAAAAAAATTCACTCGTCATCAAAAATATAAATGAAACCTTTTAAGGGAACCTCCAAGGAAAAGCACAATGGTTGCTGTTTTCCCTGACTCTAGGGCTGGCTCCAGTCTGTAATCCTGCATTAAGGGGGAATTTCCTTTCAGCTACCAAATAAAATCCAGATTTATTCCATGAAATCAGGAAGTTGGAGGTGTCCCATGGATCCCTCACAGCAGGTGCCAAGGAGCTCCTGAACATCTGGAATCGCCCAATTCCCTGGCAGTGCCCAGCACTGACCTGGAAAGGGGATCCTCTGGCACATCCATACCATCCATACCTGACCAAATCCATCTGAACCCATCCATGACCATGCCCATACCTGTCCACGTCCATCCATGTCCATCCACACCCATCCATATCCATCCACGTCCATCCACACCCATCCATATCCATCCACGTCCATCCACACCCATCCATATCCATCCACGTCCATCCACACCCATCCATATCCATCCACGTCCATCCACACCCATCCATATCCATCCACGTCCATCCACACCCATCCATATCCATCCACGTCCATCCACACCCATCCATATCCATCCACGTCCATCCACACCCATCCATATCCATCCACGTCCATCCACACCCATCCATATCCATCCACGTCCATCCACACCCATCCATGTCTATCCATGTCCATCCACACCCATCCACACCACGGCAGGAATCCCCCTCTGGGCACCTCGGGATGGCTGTTCCATGGTATTGATTATTATTGGTGTTATTGGTTTTATTATTATTATTGCCCTGGCGCCGCAGCCCCGCCGCTGGTAATGAGGCAAAGGAGGGTTTAACCAATTCCTGGATTTGGGATGGATTTAGGTCACAGAGCCACAGGATCCTGGGATGGTTTCAGCTGGAAGGGGCTTTGAGGAGTGTCTCATTCCTGCCATCCCTGGAGGGACACCTTTCACTAGCCCAGGCTGCTGCTCACAGGCACCACACAAAATACAGCATCCCATAAAAATGATCCAGCTCTGGAGAAAAGGGATCCTGCAGCACCTTCCAGCTCTTTGTGTGGACTTGGGAATGCCAGGGATTAGGGGCTTTAGCTGTAAGCCCAGCTCAGGCTGCTCTGCAGCACTTCAAACTCCTAATTTCCCAAAATCTCCCTATTACCCGGTCAAGATCTTGGAGCAACCAACAGATTTCCCCAGACTGTTAATCCCACGTTTCATCCTTTCCTGGGCTTTTTTTAGAGGCTGAGAAATGTAATCCTAATTTAATCCTGACTGGAAGCCTGCTAGGGAGGGCTGCAGTGGGAAGTTCTCCACGGGGTCAGCGGGAAAGGGTTTCCCAGAAATTCCCTTCGCGTTCCCCACGTCAGGGCAGTGACCCCACAGCCCTGCTGGGTGGGTGGGGCAGAAAGGGAATTTCGGGGACACTGGTGGACATTCCCCCCGTGGCATTCATTCCTTGTGGGGGGGAGCTGGAAGGTGAGGGGGAAACTTGGATATCTCCACCAAGAACAGCCTCAAGTCATTTAATCACCATCTGCCTTGGTGCCAAAGTAAATCTCCTCAGCTCTCTGAGGCCTTGACATACTCAGAATATTCCAAGAACTTTCATTCTGCTTGTCCCCATCCAGAAGAGCTCATCTCTTTTTTTTTTTTTGGTGGGAACACAGAAGAAATCAGGAGCTGGACTCTGCTGATCCCCGTGGGTCCTTTCCAGCTCAGGAAATTCTGTGGTTCTGTGTTCCTCCTTCACTCATGGAGGTTCCAAATTCTGGATTGGAGCAGTGTCCGTGCACATTCCATCCCCCTGTGCTTCCTCCCTCCCCGAGGCCTCCCAGCTGCTGGAATAATTCACTGCTGGAGCACCAGGCAGTTTTCACCTTCAGTTCTCTGTCCTGAGGGAAAAGCAGCTTTCCCTCACCGTCCCTACTCGCGCTGCGCCTTAGGAGCTCCGTTAAGCTCAGGTTTAGGTGGCTCTGGGTTCAGGAAATAGGAAATGTGCCATCCCAAAGAGCAAGTGGAGAGGAGAAGCCAGAGGTCTCAGCCTCCAACCCAGTTCCAGGAGCTGGGATTTAGGGATTAGTGAGATGGATGGCCTCGCTGCTTCCCCCAAGATGCAGCGGGCTGTGATTTGTGCCCGCTAAGCCGCTATAATGACGAACAATCCTTTTTATTAACGGGGCCTAAAAATAGCAGCCAGCTCCTGGGAGGCACACACACACACAGCTCCGGGGCAGGAGCTTCCCTTGGGGGGTTTTGGGGGCTGTGACATTCCTGCAGGACAGCCACGTGGGGGTCTCACCCTCAGCCGACCCCTCTGGGTGTAACGCGCTGAGTGAGTTTAGGGGCACACGAGGCATCCTGGGATGGGATGGGATGGGATGATGGGATGGGATCCCCACTGTCCCCTGGGATCCCCCACTGATTCCTTGGAGCACCAGGAGCATCTCCTGGAAGCCCCTTTGGCATTCCAGCTGCGCCTTCAGGAATCATCCCGAAAATAACGCGGCGAGAGAATCCCGTTCCCTCCTAAGTGGAAACCTGGCGGAGATTTTAACTCCCAGCTCCCAGGGAATCCTTCCCCGGTGAGCTCTGGGTGCCTGAGCCAGCTCCAAGTGCTTCAAGCCCCCCTCTCTTCCCCAAGTCTCTGCTGCTCTCTGGAACTCCCAGGACCGAATTAGCGGCGCAATCATGAGAAAAGGAATCGGAGCCTTCTCCAAGCTGTCGAGTGCATTTTGCTGCATGATTAATTGGCAGAGCTCCGGCCAAGCCCTGGGTCCTGCTAAAGGCCATGCCCTTGACTTGCACCTGCCACTGATTGCAGAAAATGGATGTCTTCACTTCTCCCTTTTTTGGTTTTTTTTTTTTTTTGGTGCAGCTGTTAAACTGCTTTAAGGAAATCTTATTTCTCTGGACCAGAAACTTGAACTTCTTCTCTAATCTCAGGAGGCTGAAATGAATGTAATTCTCTGCCTCAGCCTGACTTATGGAAGCAATATTTTAGGATCTTTAGGAAAGCTGTGATAACTGGAGGTGATTTTTGTTCCTTTCCTAGGAGCTGGGATGTTCCTGTGCTCTGTGGAGGTGCTGGAGTGGGATCTGCGAGGGGTGAGTGCAGCACAACGGGGGAAACCCCAAACAAATTGTGATTTTTGCCTGTTGGACCCGGCGAAGGAGTGAAGGAAAAGAAGTTTTTACCCTTGGTGTTGAATTTTGTGGCAAAAGCGGCAAATCCAGTAATTCCGGGTTATTTGGGGTCACAGGGATTCACTGATGGGGACAAACCTGGCAGGAAAAGCCCTCAGAGCTCCTCGGGGAGTGATTCCCAAAGAATCCTGGCAGGAACGATCTGGACTTGCTCCGAGGTGAGCCGGGAGTTCCTCCTGGGAGTAAGGAGAGAACAAAACCCTGGCGATCCTTTAAAAACCCATCTCCACACGCCTCGAAGAGGGAAAGCAACATCTGCTGGGCTCCATCCAGGTGTTTCATGTCCCTGCCATTAATTGGAGGGGACATTATGTCATCACACATCAACGGGGAAAGTTGGTTAAAGTGCCACTTATCTCCGGGGCTGCCGTTAATCAGCTCCCTTTCAGCGGGAGCAGTGACACCTTGGAATGTTTTCCTTCTCCTTTTCCAGGTGCTCAGGGACAAGAAGTGTGGAAATCTCCCACACACACACACACGGTGGTCTCTTGGGGGGGTTTGAATTGGGAGGGATTTTAAGGAGTGGGGGACACCTGGCTTGGAATGCTCCTGGGGACACCTCGGCAGCCCATCCCATCCCTCCCTGGGAAAACTGATGGAGAACTGTCACTCCGACAAATTGAGTGTGACAGGAAAAAAAAAGAGAAAAAAAACCTCTAAATCTTGACTGGATTTGCTTCCTGGGAATGACACGAAGTCAAGTATCTTATTAAGTTCAAGAGAATTACATTTTCCATGCTCCAGCGAGAGACGCGGGCCCTTTGGAAAATCATAATGAACGGCTTTCTGCCGCCCTCATTTACATACCTTTGATAAATGGCTGTAACCAGATTAGGGAGATAAAATAACCAGTCTATTAATTACAATGATTATTATTTAATAGAAAATGGGATTGTGGCTGGCGAGAGGGAGGCTCAGCAATGCATTATATGGATGTGGTGGTTTATCTTTGGGAGTAAGATAAGTGTCCGGCTCTTCTGCAGCCCAAAGAATGTGTTCATTACCTGGGCAAGATTTATAAGCATAATTGAGTGTAATATTTGAAAAGTCTTTGCCTTATTTGGTGGACAAGGCAGGGCTGCTGCTTTAATTAAGCTGGCTAAATGAAGTTATGGAGCAGGGGTTCATTTGTAGGGAAATGACTGCGTTATTTGCAAAGTTTGGGAGCTGGAGCAAGCCCGGTGCTGCCCCAGCTGAAGTGGGCTGTTGTTATCTACAGCCTTTTTAGGGCTGTGGAAATGAAAACCTGTGAGGCCACAGGGCCCAGGGAGTGCTGAGGCCAAACCTCACGTGGATCTGGGCTCCTCGGGACAGGGCAGGGAACGGAGCTGGGATGGGGCTGGGGGAGCTGGGATGGGGCTGGGGGAGCTGGGATGGGGCTGGGATGGAGCTGGGAGAGATGGGATGGGGCTGGGGGAGCTGGGATGGAGCTGGGGAGCTGGGGCGGGACTGGGACAGCTGAAATGGGGCTGGGGGAGCCAGGAGGGGCCGGACCCCGCCGTGTCCCGCGTCCCTTGTCCCTTGTCCCGGGCTGCCAGTGGCAAAGGGAATGAAAGATGAATGGTGCCATCTGCGCCCGCACATGGCACGGCGGCAGGGGAGGCGAAATGCTAAGTAGAGCACGAGACGTGTCTGGCAGAGCCACCTATGCAGAAAATGAACCTCCCCGCCATGCCCGGGAGCCGCGGCCATCCCCGGGCCGACCCCCGGGACCCCCCTGCGCCGTGTCCCGGAGCTGTTGTCACCTTTCCCGGAGCCGGTGTCGTGTGTCACCCGGCCGCAGGATGGGCGAGGTCACGGCTCATCTCTGGGCTGTCCCCGTGCTAATCAGCGTGGCTGTTAATTAACGCTCGGAGCAGTGAGGGGAGAGTGCTGGATCCACATCTGGTGGCAGCGGTGCCCCAATATGGGCACCCCAAATCCGTGTGAGGAGCAGCAGGATTGGAGCTGATGCGTTTCGGGGTTCTGCCCTGAACCCCTGAGTGTGACACCTTTGGGTACAGGTCCCCAAATTCATCTCCCACACAACTTCCATTCCTTCAGGGAAGGAAATCAGGAGTTGTGGTGGTTAATAATAAACCAGGCAGCGCGGCAAGAACAGATTGCAGTGGGAATTGCTGTCTTCCCTGAGATGGAGGGGTTGGGTTTGGGGGGGGCTTTTTTTTTTGGGTTCATCGCTGTTGTTTTTAGCTGAGAGATCCCAGCTGGGCCTGAGAATTCGTGTGTGTGTCTGTGTGGGGAGCTGTTTTCCTGTCTGTGCATCCGTGGGGATGCTCCAGCAGCACTTCCCCTGCCACAGGGGGACACGGAAATCCTGGCAGCAGAGCTCTGTCCCTGCCCTGCTGAGGCTCAGGAGAGTTTCCCTTAGGAAAGTGGTGCTGGGACAGGCCCTGGAGCATCCCAAAAAAAAAGCAGGGATAAATTAAGGACCTACCTGCGCTTATGCCAAGGGTTAAATAAAACAAATCCCGCAGGCAGAGACAGAGGAGCTCCCAGGGATGTGATGTAAGGACACGCAGGTGCCTGCAGCCTTGGGAATGGCTGGGAAATTCCTGCTGCTGCCCTCAGGAAAACAGCAGGAACTGCTGGCTTTGGGGACACCCAGCATCTCCATCTCCTCAGGAAAACAGCAGGAACTGCTGGCTTTGGGGACACCCAGCATCTCCATCCCAGCAGGAAAACAGCAGGAGCTGCTGGCTTTGGGGACACCCAGCATCTCCATCCCAGCAGGAAAACAGCAGGAGCTGCTGGCTTTGGGGACACCCAGCATCTCCATCCCTCCAAAATCCTTCCAAGACCCGAGGTTGAACCTTTCCCAGCGCTCGTGTCCCCAAGTGCCACATCCTCCAGGGATGGGGACTCCATCCTGCCCCTTCCAAGGCTTTCTCTGTGTGTTCCTCCACTCTGCCGAAAACAAGGAAGATCATTCCCGTTTCCTTGCTGAAGTGAGGGGGGAAAAAAATGGCAAAACAGGTGCTTTAAAATCTTCCAAGGCGCCAAACTAAATGACAAAACGCAGGAGCATTTCATTGTTTGAGTTTGGAATAAAAGACGGATAATTAGGAAATTGGGAGCCTATTAATTTCCCAAATTTACTCAGGCACGAAGCACTGAGCTCTGGTGATATTTGCTTACCTCGTCATTATGCAAAAATATATTAGCTAATTATTTTGACTAATGCAATTAAGATATGCATATTTAGCATAAACTCCACAATAGAAACGTTCCAGTCAGCAGTTGCCGGGTTGCACTCGTGGGCAGCGGAGAGGGAAAAGGCAAAGAGGGATCCTGCCACACAGGCTGTGCCAGCTCTGCCAGATCCCTGCTGGGCACGTTTAGGGCACTCAGAGCCTCTTTTTATGGAATATGGGATGTTTCAGGCTGGCTCTGGTGGCAGCAATTCCATCCCGGTGTCCCCTGTGGCAGCGGGAGCCGTTCCCTGTGTGCTGTCCCCAGTCCCCCCCAGCTCTCCTGGAGCCCCCTCTGCCCCTGGATCCCTCTGCCAGGAGCATGGTGAGATTCCTGCCTCTTTCTTGCGTCTGGGAGCAGCCCCTGCTCACCCCTGTGCCCCTTTTCGTGCCAGGCTGGCATTCCCAGCATTGCCAGCTCCAGCAGGGCTGGGAATTCTCCTCTTCTCTCCGGGGGTTGCATGAGAAGGAATCCTGCCTGCATTTCTTTCCCTCTCCCAGCAGATTTGGCAGTGCCTTTTGTGCGATCCAGATGTGACCTCCGGGATGCGGGGCTGGCTCTCCCATCCCGGTGTGGTGGGCGAGGAAGGAGCAGCAGGGAGGCGAGGGGGGCCGGCATTTTTCGGGTGCCACCCCTCGCCCGACCCCGGGCTCTGCCCCGCCTCTGGCTGCTCTTCCAGAGGAGCCGCTTTGGCGAATCCCTTCCCCAGCCATGTGGGCTGTCAAATGGCTTCTGCTGTATTTTGTTGCCCTTTCAAATATTTCTCCGAGAGTGGGATGTACCATCTGCTGGCCAATCTGGCTGTGTCTGCGGCTCCCAGCGCCGCGCCCATGGGCGCTCGGCACCCAGCTGGCACCGGCCCGCCTGGCACGGAGCCCGGGTGATCTCTGCGTGCCACCCCTCCATCCTCCCCAGCGCAGGACAGGCAGAGGCAGGATTTAGGATTTATTTCCCAACGTCCCCACGTCGTGCTGACTCCGCGGCGCTCTCCCCGGCCGGGTTCGAGATGGAGGATTAGACTTTGCTGACTCCTTTCTAGCCCGGGATGGTTTTAGGGAAATCTGTAATTCCCCGGGGATTGCTCTGGGCTTTGTTAGCCCGGAGGATCAGGAGGGGAAAGCAATGCTATCAGCGCCGCTCTCCCAACGAAAAGAAATCACCTTAAGCGTGGCCGATCCCCCGAGGAGCAGCTACACCTGGGAGTAACACCCTACTCAGCAGGCAGCCAGCCTGGCCCCTTGTCACCCCAAATCTGCTCCTCAGCAGGTTTCACTCTGCTGCATCTGGGCTGAAAATTGCTGATTCCGGCCTTCTTTTTCCCTCCCAAATTCTCTCTCTCTCTCACAGCTTGGGTGCGGGAAGAGTTGAAGGGCTCCGGTGGGAATTCCTCCCCAGCAGCTCCCAAAACTCAAGGCACAAAGAGCAGATCTAAGAACTGGCTAGATTTCCATCTTGTCCGGATTTAGGGAAATTTCAGGCCCTGCTGGTGTAAAATTTAAAAAGCAGGGGGTTGGTAAGAGCGAGGTGTGCCCCAGGACAGCCCTGGATTTGCTGCTGGCTGCCCAAAATCCCAGCTGCTGCCCCTCCACAGGCAGTGATTTTATCTCCCCCTCCCAGCGCTTTCTTTTTATTCCTTATTATTTTACAGACGCTTAACAAGTGCGATGGGAAGAGCTTTGGGGGCAGATTATTCCGGAATGCAAATCCCATTAGGCTTCGCCCCGCACATCTGACGGGGATATCTGGCAGCCCATCTCACCCCCGCTCCTCCTGAAGGGATCTCTGCTCCCCGGGAAGCTGCGGCGAAAACTTAATCGGGAATTACACCCTCTAAATACCCCGCGGAGGAGAGAGTGGACTTTTCAAACCCAAAGCCGTTAATCTTCTTAGGTAATGAGGGGAAAAGCTGCCGCAAGTCTCCGAGGTGGAGCGGCAGCTCCGGTGATTGGGGGCTGCAGGAAAATTCCTACCAAAAATATTTGTGACGGCCCGCAGAAAGGGCAGAGCAGCTCCAAGCCTTTCCTTTCCTTTTACCCCTTTAATTAATTCCACGAGGATCGCGGGAGGGAGGAGAGCTCGGCCAGGGAAGCCACGGGGGATGCTCGGGGCAGAGCCGGGTGGGGCTGCCGCAAGTCTCCGAGGTGGAGCGGCAGCTCCGGTGATTGGGGGCTGCAGGAAAATTCCTCTCCTGGAGCTCGGGAGGAATGCTGCCGGCTCCAGAATTCCAAGCTTGGGATGCAGAAGGATGGGGTGCTGCCTTTGATGGTTA